GTGAATAAACATGTACGGTGACTTTTTTTAAGAAAAATCATACATTTAAAAACGGTATTTCTATTCGATTTTTTGTTGAAGTCCTACAATATTTGATTTTCGAACCCACTTCTATGAATAGATCTATTTTAAATTTGGGACATTGGATAATTCTTTAAAATTTATGCTCAGGGATTTGCTTTAGTTTACGGTCGCACGATTTTCGTGATGATTTTAATTTTAATAGGTAGGTAATAAGTCATTGAAGTAAATACTAGAAGGATTTTTTGCGGAAATTTATAGTTTTCGAGAAATTAATTTTTTAAGTTTTATAGGTTAACTACTAGGAATCGTTTAGAACACTATTATTTCGGAGTTCGGCCCAAAAAATTTACATAATTACATTCTAAAACATTAGAAAGACACAACTTAATGATTATATCATCTTTTAACGCATGTTATTTCAGACTGCAAAATTATTGTTGGCTTACGGTAAATCTTTGCCTTAAAAAAAAAAGAGAAATTATATTTTATTCGTCTTTCAAGTTGATTAAGTTTTTTGATATCATCATTATGGTTGACAGCCCAATTCAGAGCAAACCGACTCTGACAGATTAGGTTAGAAGGTGAGAAGCCTTCGTGGTTATTTTTTTTATAACCACCCAGAAATAGAGCCCTACATAGAAGGGCTAAGTATGAGCCTCCACCTACCATAATCTTATTCTCACTAAATATCACCATAGTAACATTGCATAGGTTAGGGTTTCTAATATATTTCAGAAACTATACATTCCGCAGCCCCCCCTCTTACAGGGGGCTTCGCCACATCCCCCCCGCCTCCTCCCCGCAGCCTACGCGTGCGACCGTATACTAAAGCAATACCCATTATAAAGGTACACTAATGGTATGCACCAATGAGTTTTCAGTTTTTAGGTACCAATTAAGCGTAAGTAAATATTTTATGAATCATCGCCGAGCATTTGTGCCTTGGTGAAAGGTTAAAAATTATTTTGGTAAAATGTTTATTTATTTCATTTATTCACTATTATTCATTTGGGTTAAATGGTAACAGATTTTTATTTTATTTCCTAAATAAATAAAAGTCATGGTTGATTACATATGTAATTTTTAATTATTTGTGCAGCTATCTACATACAAGTATTTATAAATAGGTATTTCAGAACAATGATCCTTTGTCTTCAGGTAGCAAAAAATATATTTCCACAGACCCTTTACTGGTGTGCACAATCTCTGAATGACGAATTAAAATTTTTGCGGCAATACCGTATAACAAACATGGTATACCTGTGAAAAGGCTAACTTCATTAAAAACATTTTTGTAAATGACTTGTTACCAATGCTTTTCATAAAACCTTGTATAAGACACATGAAATTTCCAAATAATAAAATGATAATTGCTAAATATTAAAATTATTTATTAATCATGTTCATTCCATAAAATTTGGCATAGTGAGAACAGGTAACATGATAGCTAATGTTGCATAAATAGCTATAAGAAAGGTCAACATCTCAGAAGTTTGGCACAAAGGAAAATATTCATGCTTTAGCCGTGTCTGATGATGTAAAGCAGCCTTTCCTCATAAGGGTCGCTGTAATTGATGTTAGTATTGCAGATGTTTGTAATAAGCAATAATCACTTAAAACCAGGTGAATTCATTAACAATAGGCAGCCGGCTCATTTGGCACCTCCCATAAACAAAATCAGTAGTTTATAGTAAGAAATTTGCTTTGCATATAAAATTAGTTAAAAAGAATTTAAATATTACCAAGATTGGCAACCTTGATTATTCTCATAAATTTGTCTGATGACTCTAAATCTTCAATGGCTTTTCTAGAACAATGATATTTTATATATGGGTAACAACCAGTCCGTAAAATCTGATAATTTGATTTACCCACTTTCCAATTAAAATTTGACATTCCAAATTGATCATCAACCACACTACTGTACTGAAAAAAGTATTTATTAAAAAAATATATTAAATTGACCCATTATTTTTTTATATAGAGAGGTAATGCCTTGGCCACACTTGCAACTATAAAGTGTTGGACAGACTGAGTGGATTTAAAACGAAAAACTTTGCTTTAATCATAAATGTTAATATTATTAAGTACTGCTTGTTAAACATTACTACACCTTAACAAAATATGAAGTCCATGGTGGTTCCTTACATTGGACTAGGTAACTGGTTAACACTTCAGATGATGCAGGTTTGGAAGAAAAGTTTACAATTGATGTAATCGATTTCTTTAGATTTTTGCTTACTTTTATCCTTCCGAAATACATTGAATGAGGTTTATACAAATTTGTTTTTGCTGCTAGATAATACAGTCTGTAACTTGATCCTTGAATATTAATTTCTTTGTATATTGTATTGTTTTACTATTAATATCCTAAGAACTAAAGCCTATTTCTATCTTATTACCAAAATATAAGTACCTAGTATAGTATTGATTAGAAGACAGATTGAATAGCACAGTATTGATAGTATAGTATTGGTCTGTCTGTCAGATCTGACACTTAAGCGTCAGATATAGAATTAGAAATTATAACGAATTCTCGAAAACAAAACATTTTAGATTAATTTCGTAACCCACTAAATTCAAACCAAAACTGGGAAGTATTCCATTATCTATTCAATTCTTTTATGAACTTAAATACCTAACCTTAAACTACGATTTTCGAAATTAAAAATACTTGCCCTAATAGTAAATCGCCTTATCTCTAAATTCAAACCAAGATCTTAGGCGGTTAAATCTTAATAGAAGAAATGCAATTGATTAATTATGGTTTTAATGTAATGCTATGTAACCTAATGTACTATAAGTGCGGTTTAAAAATTAACCTCAATACCGACTAAAGTACGAAAATAAAATTTCGAAAAAATTGTCGATCTGAAAAGCACGTTTTGTCTTAAAAAAGAATTCGCTTTAGTATTTAAATACTATCATACAATTTCGAATATATATTTTTTTTAATTTTCGTAACGTAGTTATAAGTACGGATAACGTTGTCACGCTGAAAAGCACGTTTTTATTAAGTAATAATTGTTCTTTTCCTGCCTAGACAACTCTGTATACGCGTGCGATCGGTGCTAATCATAAAGTGCCAGGCTAGGGCGAAGCGCGTTTACTTTTTTTTCCACCGAACTTGAGGTAAGGGCCGGACCGTGCGTGCGCCTAGCCTGTACGTCGGTTACGGGTGACTAAGCTCGAAGACTAGGCTCGGGCCGTCACGCTATTATTATATTATTTTCACCGGTTTGAGGCCACCAAGCTCTTAGGTTGTTTTGGCGGACAATCCACGGAGTGACTAGGCACAAGGGCACCCGAGAACGACGAACCTCTGCTCAAACGGTTGCTGTTGTCTGACTAGAGGAATTTCGGGGGAAAATTAACGAGGGACAACCTACCAGGTACGTTGCGGAATCTAGTATATTTTTTCCGCACTCGCCGGCGGTTGCGGTGTGTTTTCGAAGTTGTTTGATTGGTGATTGTCCACTCTTCGTCGGGGAAGTCCAAAACGTGTCGCGGTCTACGCCAGTTGCGGCGGAACCTACCTAGAGTAGGAGTAATGATTTGCCATATGTGGTAAAAAAAAAGGTCTTAAATCGTTTTGATTGCGGATATTGTCTATATACAGTGGCGGATTTGCCCTAAAGCCCAGTAAGCCCGATCCTAAGGCGGCCAGATTTTCGGGGCGGCTAATTGCGTGACAAAAAATTCAAAGATGATCGCAAGAAATAAAAAACGAAGTACTAGTAAATAGTATGGCAGGCCGCACTTCACCGCATCGTTAAACAATAGTCTTAATATAGTCTTCGCAATAGTGTTACGAGATTGTTTAGAGATATGTACCATAAGATATAATGTAAAGTAATTATTTGGTCAAAATTAAATGTAAGTATGTTATTTCTAACATGCCTTAAAACACACGCTCGGGCATTGGTTGGCTTTATGGACGGTTGAATTTTTTTTTAATTTTTGGCTGGATCAACCACTATTGGCCTTGGGAGGCCTTTACAGATCCACCGGGCTTGAGGTGGCTGGCCGCTGAGGAAGCCTAGCATGGACGTCTCCCGGAAGCCGCGGCTCAGGCTGTCCCGCAATGCTTATTTGTACTGGTTTGAGAGGCCGCCAAGCGCTTTGGTAGACACTCCATGGAGTAACTAGGCTCAAGGGCCCCCGAGAAGTGCTGTTACTCAATACCCGTTTAGCATTTCGATTCGCGGGTGCCCGAGAGGGCCGGACCCTGGCTCGATCATTAGCTGTAGTCTGACTAAGGAGATTTCTAAGGCTATCGTTACTACCACTTCGTAAAGCATTGGCGCTGGGAGAAGAATTGGTGGAAGAAATTCCAGTAACGCTTCTATAAAAAACCTGCCAGGTACGTACTGAATGTATCAAAATCAAAAATGTATTTATTCAAATAGACGCTTGCGCGCTCTTATGAATCGTCAAATTTTACATCAAAGTATATGTATATAGGTTCGTAAGGTACCAACGGTTCGGAAAGCAGTTTCTGTTGAGAAGAGACCGGTAAGAAACTCAACAGTTGCTCTTTTTCAAAAATATCAGGGTACAATATAATATACAGGTATTATAGTCTTATTCTAGCCTACGTGAGTATCAACAGTATTAACTCCACACATTGGCGTCGTCGAGATACTTCGAAATGTATACCATTATATATGCTTTAATCATAAGTTGATTTTTAATTTTACATTTAAATTGTTATGTTTTGTGGACCTTGTCTTCTTTTTAATGGCGGGGAGTCAGGTCGTGAAAAAGGCAGATTTCAATGAGAATGATGAATGATATAAACGAACGAAATGTGTTAGGTCGTAACCTAACGTTTTAATGTTATTGAGTGGTGATTTCGTGGGTTGCTTTGTAGTAAAACTCAAACTCTGTAATATTCGTCTAGTTTAATAATTGTTTTTTAAACGTTCGCGTCACACATCCACCGCTAAAAAGATGGAGGATTCGGCGTCGGTCTAGTCGCGCAGGCGCAGTGGGAGCTTGCGATGACGGCGCGGTCGTGGACCAATTACATTCGGTTGAGGCGCGTCGCGTGAGACGCGTTGACGGGATTCAAGTGCGCGTTCCAAAGAGTTCCGTTGCGTTATAGGCTCCCCCTCCAAGTTGGTAACACGTCCCGGGCCCAACTTGGTACCTGACTGTTTAATACGCGGCCTACCCCTACCTTTCTTTGGAATAACGGGTGTGGTCTGCTTGTTATCCGACTTTTGAGTAAAGGGGGTCAGGTCCGAACTGTGATATTTACCTATGACAGTGTCGTCGTCAGTCAAATTCGAAAGTATGAAAGTAGTGGGAGTTACAACTCGTTTAACGCGATATGGGCCATCTCGTTTTGGCATGAATTTGCGAGTAGTAGTTCCTTTCGAAGCATTGCTCAGTACGTGGGTTTTGACCAAGACCAAATCATTCTTTTTATAAGAAGGTACAGGACGGCGTGCAGCATCACCTATCTCCTTACGCTGATCTTGTTTTTTTCTCAACACGTTCTCGAATATCCTGTAAGGCACGTACGAAGGAACGCAAATATGGAGTGGCCGAAGGCACAAAGTTTTCTTTATCCAAGATTGCACGTAGATCATGGTGCACCTCGAAAGGCGTGCGAAGTTCGCGAGCGAACGTTAAAAAAGCTGGGGTCTTCCCAGTGGTGGAACAGACGGCGCTGTTCATAGCGAACCGAACATGGGCAAGATATTTAGGCCAGTTCCGGTGTTCGGTTTTTACTAACAAAGACAGTTGTACCTTGAGTTCTCGATTTTTGCGCTCGGCGGGATTAGCTTCAGGGTGGTAAACTGGGATAAGCTCTTGTTTAACCCCTAAAATAAACATCGAAAGTTGCATTACTGAGGATATGAATTGAGTGCCGTTATCGGACACAACTCGACGTGGCAATCCATATCTGAGAAAGTATTCTTCTATAAGAAGTTTGGCGCAATTTTCTGCTGTGGCCTCCACAAGCGGGAACAGCTCAACCCACCTGGTAGCTACGTCTTCAACAAGAAGAAACCGAAAGGGGACCGAAAAGATCCACTGCAAGGACTTCAGATCTTTGTTGGAGGACGGGTGTCTGGAGGAGACCAGCTGGTTTCTGGTTCGCGGCTTTATACCTGAGACAGTCCACACAGTTCTTAAGGTACTCTGTGACGTAACGACGCATTCCGGGAAAAAAGAAGTGCTCACGGATGCGCTGCAGAGTCCGCTCAATACCCTGGTGGCCAGCAGTTGGGGAATCGTGAAACGACTTTAAAATTTCTTCCCTTTTGGAAATTGGCACTACCATCTGCGCTTCTTCGCAGTCATTATCTGGATCATAACGATATAACACGCCCTGCTGCAGTACATATCCACGTTCCAGCACCGAGTAGAGGTAAGTTCGTCTATGCTTTCTAGGTCTTGAATAATTTTAGCCACTTCTGGATCTTCAAGCTGCTCGGCTCGGAGTTGGCTCGGCAGTGCTTGAGGTAAGTCGACGGATACGAAACACACTTCGCACTCGTTGATACCGTTACAGGTAGGTCGACTCAAAGTATCAGCTAAGGTATTAACTTTACCTGGAGAGTACTCTATCTTGAGATCAAACGCCTGGAGTTTCAGGGCCCATCTGATGAGACGACCACTGGGGGACTTGAGTGTAAGCAACCACTTAAGTGGCTGGTGGTCACTTTTGACTATGCATAGATGGCCATCAATGTATCCCCTGAACTTTTCTACTGCCCAGACGACTGCGAGCGCTTCCCGCTCGGTGGTAGAGTAATTCCTCTCGGCTGACGTCAGAAGTCTGCTGGCGTATTCGATTGGTTTTTCATTGTTATTGTCACCTTGTAACAGTGCAGCCCCTAGAGCATAATTGCTGGCGTCGGTGCGCAGCAACAAGGGCTGGGTGTAATCGGCCTGTATCAAAATAGGAGCGCTAGTAAGCTTACTCTTTAGCAGGTCGAAGGCGCGTTGCTGTGCTTCACCCCAGGTCCACGCCTCGTTTTTGCGGGTAAGTTTCGACAGAGGTTCAGCAATGCGCGAGAAATCAGGAATAAATTTCCTAAACCAGGAACAGGTCTGTAAAAATGATTTCAAATGTTTGAGATTGTGTGGTTCTTTCATTTTCAGGACGGCGTCGACTTTGGTGCTATCCGGCTTGATTCCTTTGGGTGTGATCACATGGCCTAGGTATGTAACTTCCTGGCGAACAAAGTGACATTTGGCGCGGTTCGCGTGGAGTCTAAAGTGACGCAGTCTATCAAACACCTTGTCAAGATCCTGAAGGTGGTCCTGAAAACTTCCCTGTGTGATCACCAGGATGTCATCCAAATAAGCCAACAGAGTGATGTCCTGCAGCGACGAGCTTGAGCGGAAACGATCGATCAGTCGCTGGAAGGTAGATGGTGCATTTTTAGGCCGAAGGGCATGCGCTTGAACCCTTTACGTACCAAAAGGACTTATAAAAGCAGTTTTGTCTCTGTCCTTTCCAGCTACATTGACTTGCCAATATCCGGAACGTAGGTCAATGGTGGACATGTGGCAATCCCGTTTGGTCATCTGCAATAAATCATCGATTAAGGGAATTGGATATCTATCGGTCTTGGTGATCGCATTAAGGCGACGGTAGTCGACGCAAAACCTAAAAGATCCGTCCTTTTTCGGGACAAGAAGAGCAGGTGCAGACCACGCAGACTCACACTCTTCAATCACGTCGTCTGCTAACATTTTCTCCAACTCTGCCTTCATTATCTCTTTTTTTGCTGGAGTGAGCCTATACGGTGGAACGGCAATAGGAGCATTATCGCCGGTGTCGATGTGATGCTCTGCGTAGGGAGTTGGCCCTCCCCCTTGTTCGAACAGGTCTTTGTTCTGTTTCAGGAGGTCGGACAACAGCAGTCTCTCTTCAGGATGCAGCATAAGGGTCCGTTCACACAGACCGGCTCGGAGAGCATCGGCCTGCTTTTTTCTTTTCACACAGACCGGGTCGTATACGCTTGGAATTGGCCGGAGCGGAGCCGCCAACTATTTCACATCGACCGGCTGGAAGAGATCTGAAAGCGGGTGCGGTTGGATGTGCTCGGAGCCGGTCGGATGCGCTCGGAGTCGGGTGGATACACTACAAAGGCAGTGCCAGTATTCCGCGCAGTCTAAGTTTTGTTTTCGGTGTGTTAACGTGTGCTTTTCGAAACATGGATTTTGATAGCTCCGACGAAGAAATATATTTGTTAGCAAGATTACTTGAAATAGAACATAGGAAACGTAAGCGCAAGCGGAAACAAATATGGGTAAAACATATTTGGAAAAACAGACTAATCCATGGGGAGTTTCACACCATTTTCGAGGAATTGAAGAGAGATAGCCTAAAATTTTATGAGTATTATCGTATGGAATATTGGCAATTTTTGAAATTGACAGATTTGTTAAGAGTACATATAACAAAAAAGACTACAAATTATCGTTGCACCATTACAGCCGAAGAAAGGTTAACGGTAACTTTAAGGTAAATAAAAAACAATTATTTATACTAATCATGTTATTTAGATCACAAAATCACAGCCCTCCATTTATTAAGCATTGTTTACGTTAATGAAATGTAAATTACTTATACTAATCATGTTAAATAACACAAACATCTAAATAGATCACAAAATCACAGCCCTCCATTTATTAAGCATTATTTACGTTAATGAAATGTAATTAAATAGTACAGATTTGTGTGTTTTTAATTATTATTATTATAATTATTATTGTTTTTGATTGTTTATTATTTTGTATTTTGTGTGCTGGTATTGTACCCGTAAGTAGTCTGTCTGATCTGGATAGTTTTGAGGAATATAGGTTTCGTTTGACACTAGGTAAGTAGATTGATTAGTCGATGGCGGTGAATTTATAGACAAAGAATAATTCAAATCTGTACTATTTTCATACAGACTTAATTCAGCTTCATTAACAATGTTAAACACGCGCCTTTTAATTCGTGCTTGGACTTCTTTTGGGAATGTTTCCACTGTATCTGACATAGACAAAAAAAAATTACGTAATGCCTTGTCACGGGGTGTAGTATTTCTTTTTTTTCTTCAAGATACTCTTCGAAAACCGTAGCAACATCTTTGCTTAAGCGTGGTCTCTTTTTCGAGCCAGAAGTACTTGCAAGCGATTCAACTTCAGAATGGTCAGAACGTTTAGATGATGTCGATGGTGGTGGTATTGGTGTGCCAGGCTCTGAATCATCCGATGATAATGTTACATTAGATATTTGGTTTCGATTGCGAAAAAATGGTATTATAAAAGAAAGTTCTTTTTCAAATTTTATCAATTTGGACGTAGTTGCACCATCGCCACTCTTGCCTTTTCGGTTATAATAGGCTTTTCTGAAGTTATCTCGCAGTTTCTTCCAACGATCCTGGCACTGCGTCACTGGAAAGAACAGAAATGAAAAATTAATAACATAACTCTTTTTTATTTTATAGTTCGTTTTGGTACGGCAGTCTTATATTTCTATTTTGTGTGTTTGTTTTATTTTTACAGATTCCTCATCACTGGTTGCAGTTTCAAAAAAACTTGTCATTTAATTTTCGAATGGGAATTTCTACAGTTCATTCAATTATTCATGAGACAATCAGAGTAATTTGTGATGTTTTGATGCCCATAGTTATGCAGATGCCAGATGAAGAAATGTGGGAAAAGGTTTCACGTGATTTCTTTAATATTTGGAATTTTCCTAACTGTTTGGGCGCTATAGACGGAAAGCATGTCAATATACAGGCACCAGATAATAGTGGAAGCTTATACTATAATTATAAAAACTTTTTCAGTACAGTGTTACTAGCTGTGGTCGACGCGAAATACAGTTTTTTAATTGTTGATGTCGGATCATATGGTAAAAATAGCGACGGCGGAATTTTACAGAATTCAAAATTTTGGAAAAAACTCAACACCAATAAGTTAAAGCTGCCCCCAAATAAACCTCTACCTAGTACCACTGAAAGCTTACCACATGTTTTTATAGGAGACGAGGCATTTCCTTTGAGCAATAATATATTGCGGCCGTATCCAAGAGAACAAGCAAGAACAGAATTATCAAAAAAAGTATTTAATCTGCGTTTAAGCAGGGCAAGAAAAGTCGTAGAATGTGCATTTGGAATGCTAACTCAAAGATTTGAAATTTATCAAAAACGAATGAAAATTCAGCCGAAGTACTGTGATTTAATTATATTAGCAACTACATGTTTACATAATTTTTTAATAGAAAATCGGACGCCAGGACAAGAGAATGAATTTCACAGCAATATAAATTTATTAACAGCAATAACAGACAATAATAATGAAAACAGTTCTAATAGCGACGCAGTTCTAACCACAAGGAATAAATTTAAGGATTATTTTTCATCAAGTGGTGCTTTAGATTGGCAAGATCAAGTGGCTACGCGAGTTTCTTAAGTTATATTTAATAAAAATTGTCTACTACATAAGTATATTCTAACGATCAGATACTCAAACGAGTTTTTAAAGTAAGGGCGCATTTAAACTCATGTTATTCCTATTTTGACTTTGAATCTAACACGTCGCAGCACGAGTTTAAGAAGCCCTTGCTTTAAAATTCGTTTGAGTATCTGGGGGTAGGTGTAAAACAATGAAAACCTTACTTACCACTTATTCCGAGACATTTGCTAATTTCCTCCCATGCATTGTCTTTCATTATCCGATCGCTATATGATGGCTTGGTTATGTCAAATAAACACTCATATTTTGACACGAGTATTATTAATTTTTCATCATTCATCTTTTCGTACAAGTACGCACAACTATTACGTTCAAATGTTGCTATCAAAATGGCGGTCGGCGCGGCCGCAGCGGGCACGCAATCGGAGCCGATCGGCTACGCGATAGAGAAAGAGCACGCAAGCGGAGCCGGTCGGCTCCTTTTATTACTTCACACGAAGCGCGTTCAGGCATTTTTAATGACAAAAAAGGTGCAAATGCAAAAATAAACTTTACTACAATCACTCAAAACACTGTTTCCAACGTGATAAAAATCTGCTCTCCTCTCCGAGCCGGTCTGTGTGAACGGACCCTTACTCCTTCTTCCTGACGTAGGAAATCTGCAGAGGATACGGACACGCATGGTCTGGGAAGTTCATATTCCAATGGGTAAGTCACTTCATCACCAGAGAAATACCAAATTGAAGCGGCGAAATCGAACACTATCCCCGCTGAGGCAATAAAATCCATACCAAGAATAGTATCATTGGATTTTGTCTCTGGAAAAATAATGAACTCCAAACACAACAGTTTATTTTTTATTTTTACTTGCAGGTTAGTAACCAACAACTCACGAATCTGCACGGAGCCATCAGCGAGACGAACGCGTTTAGTGGTTTCTTGACAGGAATGATTATGTTTAAGCAACACCTGATATAAGGAAGCACCCACAATACACCCTTTAGCACCTGTATCCAATAGTGCGGTACCCCTTACACCTAGAATTTCCACTCCTAAAATCGGTCTCCGTTGTGATTGACAAGTGCCTGACACTTGTGGATGAGCGTCTGAATTAGTTGAATCAAGAGTCGACAGAGAAATGTTCGAACATGTCGTCGCTCCATTTAATAAAAATTGTGACTCAACATCAGAAAATAATTTTTGATTACTATTACAATCGTCCTGCATGGTCAACCTAGTAGGCGTAGTAAGTTTATTTTCCAAGTTATTTATGTTTCCGGATTGACCATGTAAAACATTTGTCTTGGTCACCCTAACTTCGGCATTCGATTTCCGCGGATGTCCGGAAAAAATCATAGTCACCCTACTCTTGTCATTAGTTGTAGAAAATGGGACTGATTCGGTTGTGGTCAAATCGTACTTACTTATAGAATAATAACCAAGCACGTTTGTGAGCTTAGAAGCCGGAGGAGGCACATCATGTGACATGCACTCAAACATATTAGTATCACGACTTAAATTAAATACACACCCATTATCACAAAGAAAGTATTGATATGGCAAAAATGTAGTAAAATCAATAGGCAAAAACTCTATGTGATCAATGTTAGCATAAAATAACTCAGGTAACACAGATGTAAATTGTTTAGGTAAAAACTCTGCGTGATTATTTTTAGTTTCAAAACAATTCAGGTAACGAAGATTTAAATTGAGTAGGCAAAAAATTATCAGAGCATTCCCGTGCAGTATTATTTACCAATAACGACTTATGGTTCAATGAATCAAAGCTGGACTCGGGGAGTGATAACATGCTCGAAGGGAAACCTTTATGTGACACACTGTTATAAGATGAAGTGGAACTCGCCTGGGACTCATCCTTATCACAAAATGATTTAATAACAGTGGTAGAGTACCATGTACCGTAATTTCCCATCAGCGCGCCTTTCGGACGGTCGTGTTCACACGCAGAGAAGTCCGAATTGCATTTAGCACACTGTGATCGAGTGACACCTCTCTCGTTGCATCCGTAACATGACGGGACGGGGTCGGCGGTGTTATCAATGTCCTGTTTGCCTTTAGCTGCTAACCTACGACACTCATCACGTGTATGTCCATAGTTTTTGCAATAGAAACAATATCGACGTCTGGCGTTTGCGAACGGAGTAGAAGACCCATGCGGTTGTAGAAACGACGGTGAGGGCGACACCACGGAGCAGCGAGGAGAACGGCGGTAGGTGCCGTGGGCGCTGGACTCAGCGGCGGGCGCAGGCGCCTTGGGGGCGCTCTGCGGTGGTAGTGGCGGCGCGGTCGTTGACCTCTGGGCGGCGGCGATGCTTGCGGCGTGACGAGAAGGTGGCGGAAACTGGCGCTGGCGCAGTTTGTTCTGAAGGCCACTAGTTGATAGAGTCACGTCGTATTCTTCTATCTCTCTAGACTTTCTGAGGAGTGTGTCGAATGTATCAATCTCCTCTCTTCTCAAACGCTCGCGTATTTTACTATGTAGTAGTCCGTACACCATGTCCATCTGTACTTTGGTTGTCAGATCGTCCTTTGGCAGGCGTGATAGTAGCGCTCGAGTTTTAGAGATGAAGAGTTCTGTTTTCTCACTAGCTTGTTGTGGGTTGGCGAATAGCTCCTTGTATATTCGATGTGGAGGTCGGCTATCACCAAACGCACCTCTTAGGGATGTGAGGGCGTGGTCCCACTTGTTCATGGTGGACTTAACTCCTTGCCACCATGTCGCGGCTTCATGAGTTAACAACATTGACAGCCCACGTAGTGCATTAGTTTCGCTTACATTTGCACATTCTTTGTAGGCCTCTACGGCGTCTATAAATCCGTCAAGTGATTCGTCCGGCGCTCCGCTGTAGCGAGCCTTGCACGCGGCGAAGTTTCCATGTGCAGGTTGAGCGGGCGGGGGGGCGATGACCGCTGCGAGTGATTGAGAACTGTGTGCAGAAGTTTCTCAAATGTTTCCTCTTGGTTGCGTTGCCACGTGGACATCATTGCAGCCATATCGTTGATGGAAATGTTTCCCGTTGCAGTCGGCGGCGAGGAAGAATCGTCCTCTGCCGGGTCGAAATAGGCGGAATGTCGACGAGACTGACGACGTGTGCGCGGTTTTGTCATCTTGTATGATTCACAGAATTCAGGTTTACTCCAAAGCCACTAGTTGGGCGTCCATTTTAATGTTATCGAGTGGTGATTTCGTGGGTTGCTTTGTAGTAAAACTCAAACTCTGTAATATTCGTCTAGTTTAATAATTGTTTTTTAAACGTTCGCGTCACACATCCACCGCTAAAAAGATGGAGGATTCGGCGTCGGTCTAGTCGCGCAGGCGCAGTGGGAGCTTGCGATGACGGCGCGGTCGTGGACCAATTACATTCGGTTGAGGCGCGTCGCGTGAGACGCGTTGACGGGATTCAAGTGCGCGTTCCAAAGAGTTCCGTTGCGTTATAACGTTGCTTCGTTCGTTTATATGCGTTATGCAATTAGATGTAATCTAATTAGATGAAAAAAAAATCTGGGAATGTATAAAAGTGCTGAATCAGGTACACAAGAGAAATTTGGTTCATTTCACAGTGTAAATTATTTTATTTCCTTTGAGCTTATCGCTAAGTTCGATCTGTGTTTAGCCAAACACATTACACACTATGGGACTCCAGCCTCATGTTCATTCAAAAAATGTCATAAGATACAACAAATTACAAACCAACAAATGCCTTACCTCAACTTTACCTTAATTGCAAACTTATGACAACGCAGCTAACATGTCAGGCGTAAAGAAGGGTCTTCAGCTGAAAGCTGCCAAGTGGCTTGTTCGTTCTTTCCTCTATTCTATAGTTGTACAGTTTTATTTGTAGTCTATATTAGGGTTGATGAGGATGTAGTTATAAGATCTGCTATGAGGAAGAGGATGAGGAAGAAGAGCAGAAATAAGTAACAACATAATAAAAATATTATTTTTGGGCAAAATATATATTATCAAGCTTTGACAATTAAAACAAAATCTTAATATTTTTTAAGATCCGCACAAATTACTTTTATGGGAAAAGTTTTTATTTATTATTTTTTGTTAAAAATAGTGCCAAAAATAATTAAATGTTAATATTGAAAATTATTTTCTGGTAAATTGAATGTAATAAATAATAATTTAGATACTGTTTCTCCTGCTAAACGGTTTCGTAGCTCATCGTAAACCAACCCAGCACCACTAAAAAGGCGATCACTGAGGACACTTAATGGAGGGGCTGATAAATACTGACGTACTACTCCATAAAGTTCAAAATATTTTGGGTTTATTTTCCACCATGAAAGACTGTCTTCAGTAATATTCATTCAGTAGTATCTTTCCTTTAATATAATTAGCTAACAGTGGCGCTGTATGCAGTGAATTTTTAACTATTTGGGTGGTGAAGTATGAGGAAGCGGAAGAGGGGTAACGCCGCTTGGCGGCGCGCAGCGCGCGAGTTTCGTCGACGCGCCGCTAGGCCAAGTCATTCATTACTTATTGTGTTTGTGTGTAGGACACTATCGATAGTATCATGGAAGGTTTTCGAAAATGTACACAAATGATCCGCATAATATCTTTTATAGACCATGATTGTATTTTAATTTTATATTATAATAGGAATAATAATAAACAAACAAATATAAATTATGAGAAAGTAATCAACAATTTTAGGAAATCATCCTGTTTATTTTTTTTTTTAATTACATGGAAAAGGAATTGATTAAAAATACATTTTAAAGTCAAATAAATTAATAAAGGCAAATTACTTATAATTATTGTTTTTTGTTTTTATGGTTTATATTGTGATTTTAAAGAAATGGCTCCTAAATTTTTTGCAGAAATTACGAATACAACTTTTTTATTTATTTTTTTTTGTATTAGGAATTTAATTTATCCTTTAAATGTTCAAGACTTACTATGTTATATTACTTTTCAACTAAAATGAAATTTAAAAAACTATTGATAAAATCCTTATTTATATCGATAAACGACAGCAATTACAACTAGAATCGAAATTTTGTCACTTTGCACAAACCTCGCGTAGCCTGTTGGGCCGAGCGTCATACACAACGGTAAACTATTGCTGTAGCCCTAAGTTCAAACCACTCATTGAGTGGAGTTGTGTTTTTTATATTATTTTCACTTTTAATTTGTTAGCCAACTAATTATTTTGTTTTTATTTTATAAAATGGCTCTATTTGGGAAATAAACAAATTATAAAATAATTATTTTTCGTGTATAAGATAAATTTTCGTTTTAGGGTGAACAATTAAATAAATTAATAAAAAAATAGATGACGTTAAAAAATTTTAATACTAAAAGTTGGTTTATTTACTGATAGATTGTTCTCCAACTGTTTCAACTTTGAACAAATACAGTAATATTTAGTTGTAATTATTTATGAAAATAATAAAATCAATGATAACTAAATGGTAATTAAGACATACTTCCAAATAAGAAAATCAACAATAAGTACCACAAAAAATTAAGGAATTTGAACCCAATCCATAAAGAATGATGGTCCTATACACTATATGTACAGGACTGATAGACCAATCAATCACGAGATAAGATATTGAAATTATGCTTTAAATAAATTAATTAACAACTGTTAATACATACTAATAATTTACAAAATATATATGTGAATATACATTTTTTAGTTTCGTGTTTTCGAAGGTCTAATAAAATTAAAACTCTCAATAATAAATAAATACGAAACATATTTCGTAACGGTGAGCAGGCGATGAACGGCATAGATTTCCAGTATATAATAGTAGTCTTTGCATAGATCCATATAGCAAGGCGCCTCAACGCTCTCTGTTCAACGTGTGGAGTTGGAAGTAGAGATGAGGCGTATATACTGGTACAGGTATAAATACCCAGTATGAAAGTACCAGTATTCAGACCGGGTATGTACGGCAGAGGCCCGTTCCGGACTCGATAGTAGGGTTGATGAGGATGTAGTGATAAGGAAGAGGATGAGGATGAGGATTTTTTTAGAAAAGAAATTGAGGATGAGGATAAGGATCTGCTATGAGGAAGAGGAGGAGAAATAAGTAACAACATAATAAAAATATTCTTTTTGGGCAAAATTATTATTATTTTTACAATTTAAAAGATACAAACATCAGACAAGGTTGCAAACAAACTCATTTATTTATTAAACTACCTTCGCTTAATATTACAATTATTATACCCTCTACATAATCAATATACAACATACCTTTCCATCACAATAATCAAGTTACGACATAATGTTAAGGATTAATTAACAATAACAGTCCCAACCAATAACTGTAATATTGTTTGTTTCTAATAATGTGTAAATAATTACTGCTTGCTCTATCACAAGTTCAGTCAGCGTTTGGTATGCCAATAATTTCAGGCCACATTTCTGGTGGTGGAATTCGTATTGGTGATTCAGATCCAGAAGTTGAACTTGATCCTCTGCGGAATTGAGGTGATATGGGCAAGGTGTCAGGAGACTGGCTTACGGTTTGGGCGTTGGACCGTGCCAGTATTTGGTCGACATGTCGACGGATCAACTGTCCATCTTCCGTTCTCACCCTATAACAACCTGGACCTTCGACATACTCGATAGTGGCCCGTCGCCACTTCTCTCCAGGTCCATAGGCACGAACCGAAACTGGCTGATCTATCGCAAAGGTTCGGGTAGAAGTCCGTTGTGCTTCCTCCTCCAGCTGTCGCTCCGAGCGGTTTGGCCCACTATCCGGATGCAATGCTGACACCGCAGTCCTATATTTACGTCCATTCAACAGCTCTGCAGGAGTCTTTCCTAGATGGTTCGGCACCGTCCTGAGCGAATATAACACTCGAGGTAGTTTCTCAGCCCATGACAACCCTGCATCCGATATTTTCTTAAGTTTGTTTTTGAACGTCTGTATCGCTCGGTCGATTTGTCCGTTCGTAGCCGGGTGATATGGGGGCGAATATAAATGTTCGATACGATTATTTTGCAGAAATTTATTAAATTCACTCGAGCTAAAGGCTCTACCTTTGTCCGAAACAAATTTTTCGGGCAGTCCCTGTGAGGCAAAAATTTTACGACAAATTGATATAAGAGCTTCGCTGCTCATATTTGGTAATATAGAAGCCTCAAACCATTTGCTATAGCTGTCAATCATAACAAAAAGACCTTTCCCTGGAACGGGCCAGCAAAATCAACATGGACACGACTCCATGGCTTATCGGGCAAAATCCAAGCATGTGGTTCTCTCGGTGGATTGTTTCTTACGTCCTGACACAACTCGCAGGCAGCCACTGTAGTCTCTATTTGTGCATCCATACCAACCCACCATACGTATCCTCTAGCATAAGCTTTCGTCTGGACTATACCAGCATGCGGTGCATGCACCTTCAGTACCTGCTGTTGTAAGGAGGCAGGTACAATGACTCTGTTACACCACAATAGACATTCTTTATTGTGTGAAAGAGTCTCACGACGTGTCCAATACGGCTTGAGAGTGGGATCAGTATTATTAGGAGGCCAACCATGTAGGACGTGAAATAACACCTTTTGCAATACGCGGTCCTTCTTAGTCTCAGCAGCAATTCTTGCCGCATCCAGATTCAATCCAGGGAGAGGTTCCTCAAGGAGTAAATCATCGGCTAATAGATCCACTCCTTGTTCTTCTGAAGTGTTTACAGATGTCCATCGACTGAGAGCATCTGCATTACCAATATATTTCCCAGGTCTATATTTAATTTCATATTCATAACACCCCAACTTTAATGACCATCGTAACAATCTAGGTGAAATTTGATCAGGAATAGGTTTATTTGGACTAAATATACCGATTAGCGGCTTATGGTCAGTAATAACACAAAACTTCCTTCCTAATAGAAATTCATGAAATTTTGTAATTCCGAAAATTATGGCTAGAGCTTCCTTGTCGATTTGTCCATACCGTCGTTCATGGGGTTGTAACGTTCTGGATGCCATCATCACTGGTCGTTCTGATCCATCATCCATCACATGTGCAATAATTGCACCCACACCATAGTTTGATGAATCACAAATTAACAATAACTCTCTCTTTAAATCATAACCAACTAAAGTTAAATCTGAAGACAACACATCTTTAGCTATCTC